TTCCGAGTATCTGAAGGCGGGTTCACGTCATTAACCAAAATAGTAACAGAATGATGGGAGTTTTAATAATTTATCAGCTGATTAATCGAAGTGCTAGTATTCGTAGCTATAAGGTTGTATATAGGGTAACTGTTATACTCGGGGGGCAAACGGATTGTTAGCAATGGAGTTTGACAGCCCCATTGCTAGCAATATGCCCAATATATATAGCAAATGTCGACCATCGAACAGACGGTAGGGTTGGTTAAAAAAAAACCTTAAAAAATTATCAGAGCAACACATTTTTGGAGATCTCACAGCAGACAGACAGCTCCTGTCCAACATATATTGACTACGACTGAACCAACCAACCAACCTTCGATCCTCATCTATCATCCTCACTGGCCTCCCCAGCATAGCTCAATAGTACAGGCTGGTTTACTACTCCATTTATTTCGGGGGAAAAAGAGGTTGTTAGCAATGAAGTTTGACAGCCCCATTGCTAGTAATATGCCTTTTTAGGTCGACCTCCACGTGGTTCCTTCTGAAAACCATCGTGAACAATTCTTGTCGAATTCGTCACGATGGGCTAACTGACCTGTTTCATCCTCACCTATCATTCTTCACTGGTGCCCCGCCGGTGTATACCGATAGCGCGGGTGGAGCTACCATTCCATTATCACCCACTAAAAAACTGTTATACTCACACGTTTGTTAGGAAAAGTAACTAGATTTTTTTTTCCTAATTTGGTACACTCAGTCAAACTAGATGTCCCATCCTCGCTAATACGGGTGATGGGACACCCCAAAGTACAGTATTACATTGTCTGTGCCCAAAGCGAAGGGAGAAAATGTAAAATCATGGTACAGATTTTTTTTTTATATGTAATTATTCTTTTCAATTTAGACAATGGAAGTCTAAGGCGAGTCAGAATTAATTTTATTTATTTATTTACATAAGTATATTAAGTAAGCAGATTACATTACTACTTTGGGAAAATCTACAATGTAACAAAACTATAACGAGACCCATCTATTTATGAAGTATTTTCTTTGAATTAGTGTAAGATTTTTATCATTTTGGATATCAAACATTTCTTTTTTCGATATTTTGTCTTTATAACAGCGCGAGCGTTATGCAAAAACTATTGGACGGATTCCGATGAAATTTGGTGTGGGCACAACTCAAAATCTACATCAGCATATAGCTGCTGGAAAGTGTCTTTTCCCGGGGAAAATAAAAAAGTTCAGCTTACAAAACCTCAAGCTTACCCAGTTAAATATGTTTAACATTTATGTAAATAAATTGTTATATATAGCAATTATCTATAAATAAACCACGCAGAGACACGTTCTCTTACAGTTTTTATACAATGTATCGCTTAACTATCTTTCAGTTAACATAATTCTCAAATAACCATCAGTTATAAGACAGTATGAAGTTCTTGAAAACGGTTTTTTCAGGACAACGCACATGTGACACTTCTGCCAAAGTAGGCTTGAAAAGACTATGGCAAATGTCGACCATCGAACAGACGGTATGCTTGTTTAAAAAAATCCTTAAAAAATTATCGGAGCAACACATTTTTGGAGATCTCACAGCAGACAGCTCCTATCCAACATATATTGACTACAACTGAACCAACCAACCAACCTTCGATCCTCATCTATCATCCTCACTGGTATCCCCAGCATAGCTCAATAGCACAGACTGGTTTACTACTCCATTTATTTCGGGGGAGAAAGAGATTGTTAGCAATGAAGTTTGACAGCCCCATTGCTAGCAATATGCCCTTTTAGGTCGACCTCCACGTGGTTCCTTCTGAAAGCCATCGTGAACAATTCTTGTTGAATTCGTCACGGTGGGCTAACTGACCTGCCTCATCCTCACCTATCATCGTCCACTGGTGCCCGGCAGTGTATGGAGCGCGGATGGAGTTGCCATTCCATTATAACCCATTAAAAAATATACTCCATTTAAAAAAAAAATTAACACATCAGCTCCAAAAACGCACCTTGCGCTGTCCCGGCGCTTTCGTACTTGGACTTAAGTTTGGCGGCGGTGGCGCGCGCGTCCGACCTCACGGTGTCCGCTGCTGTTGTGGTGGTCGTCCGGAAGGACAGGGTGGTGGAGAAGGTGGATGAAAACGAGGAGCCCAAGCCCAGGCCGAGGGTGGTGCGATAACGGCGGCGGTACATGACGCGGTGTGGTCACTACGACGGCACAGATGCGACTGAACTGAAAACCTGCGTAGGCGCACCGGCAACCCGGAAAAGCGGCCGCGATTTATTATGGTACACCAAAGTCGCTAGACGAACGGACGCACCGCTCACACGTCGATTGTATAGATATAAGTTCTGGTTGAGAAAAAGCTTTCTTTTGTATACATTGTTCGAAACTAACTTTAATTCATGGGGCAATTAAGTTAATGAATGAGAATAAAATGGTAACCTCGCTTACACGAAATGGACCAGTTAGTAAATTGTGATGAATTCCACAAGAATTAACCATGATGGTATTCAGGGGGACCCGCGTGGGGGTCGACCTGATAGACTTATATATACACAATGTAAGTGTATGAATAAATCAAATTTATTTGCAGCAATAACGGTACACTTTTAGTACAGAAAATCATCAAAATCGATACAGAAATAGTGAAGAGCTTAAAAGCACAAGCTTAACAACAATACAATAACAACAATAACAATGTAAGGCAGTCATCAACATTACTTTTAACCACAAATGGGGTCAGGACATTTTTTGTGCCAAACAGTGGTGGAAGCCAATTACTGAATGATTTGATCAAGGTATCATACCAAATAATTGCTTCTCAATCTAAACAAACAACTATATCTGCAAGATGTTACTTATTTTTATACTCACCTAAATTTAATATCACCACTAAGTACCTAAATGTAATATTATTGAACACTTGAAAAATGTACTTTATAACTACAATATTACAGTAACTTATAATATTTTGCCAACAGAGAAAATTATTATTTTCATATAAAACACTTTTTATTAAGGAACCTCAAAAAAAAAATTGAAAATAAAAAACAAAATAGATAAAGACTCCTAGTAACTATTATTATCAACTAGTGATCTGCCCTGGCTTCACATGGAAAAATAGAATTATTGAAAGTATTTTATAGCTTATATTACTCACTGATAAACTAACTTTTTATATGAGAAAGAATTTTTAAAATTGGTTGAGTAGTTTTTAAGTTTAAATCTTTCCTCTTTATAATATTAATATCTAAACAGTAGTACCTATTGGATTTAAATGCTTTTTTAATTTGTTTTTATTTTTAGGACCTCTCATTAGCTGTCCACTTTACAAAACTTCTATATCTATGTTTTGTTGGAACTCTGTAAATATCTGTATACCACACTATCCAGGAGCAACATGCTGGAGCAAGCAACCACCATGAAAATACCACCATTCACTGTGTTGACCTTAACATCATATACCTACCTACAATAGTATATTACATGAATACAAATATATAATAAATTTATTTATATCTACAACACACACATAACAACAAAAATAAATAAACTTACACTTTAAACAGTATACTCTGTTACGTCCATAGTACTGCTCATGTCTATAGATTACCACTTTCCATCAGGTGGGCCGTCAGCTTGTTTGCCATTCTAAGTTGTATAAAAAAAAAACAAACAGAAAAAGAGAAAAGAACATAAAAAGCAACACAAACTGATACTGTCAGTGTGAGCCACAGTAATACAAAATATATTATGTATGTAATTTTCAAATGTCAAAACTCTCAATAACCCAAATACCAGTGATTTCGAGTTTGTTGGAAAATTTTTGATTTTATAATTTTTTACTTAAAACTCTAAAAGAAAAGTAAGCAATTATATTGAATATACCTAAAAATATATTATCCAAATTACTGGACATAAAAAAGATAAATATAATATCAATCCTATTTAATTTATTCAGTCTATCAAGTTTCATTAACAATCTACGTTCCTGAAATTTGGGTATTACTCAAATCTGTATGAGATCTCACAAAATACCAAGCACTTGCGAGATTAATGCTCTTAAATCTTGCTAACACTGAGAGTGAAGATATTGCTGCAAGATTAAATGTGTTACTCAATGCTACTTGTCTATAATTTTAAAACTTCAAAAAGGCGATGGGTCTCAATTCACTTGTATTTTGTTGTGTCACACACATTTCTAGTTGTATATGTTACATAAGTCGAAATAAGTTCACATTACAAGTAAAAACATGAGTTTACACTATATTTTTACAACTAAAATAAAATGTAAGGTTATCAAACTTTTAACAATAAAATCACATAATAAACCGAAATATAGCAACGGCTGGATCGAACCTGTAGTGTGTACAATATAGTGTGAATTCTCAATCTCCTTTTATATATCCACTTACTAATTCTTGATTATAGATTATAGGAGTATAAACTTAGTTTTATAAAGAGGATCATACATGTTTATTTATACTTAACACATTGCAGTTATAATATTAAAACTTTCTGCTCTCTATGCAAGTCAAATACAAACCACATGTCTAAGGGCCAGAATAATCAGTATTCATAATACATATTATAACTTTTTAATTTGTTTTTTTTTTTTATTTCCATAACTTCTTTTATAGAAAGAAAGAAATATTTATACTATTTAGATAGTTTATAAAGGCTTTTAGAACATTTGTTGTTCAATCACACCAAATGAAGCATTTCACTACTTAATAAATGAGATAGATACTTTTTATCCCAAAAACTTGCCTAAAGTCAAATATTTTTTTAATATACAGCAAATCAATGATGTAACTGACATAATATATTTATGAAATTTTACTTACAGTATCATTATAATTGAATAAAAAATACAGTTATAGCCAATTATAATTTGAAATTTAAGTGAATATTAATTGCTTATCCAATTGAAATTTTTTTTAGTTTGATTACTCATATTCATGAAATGTTAATACTGTTTTTGTATTGTACATAGATTATGTGTACTCACCATTTATTGACCAGATATGTGAAGGCAAGGAGTGAGCCGCATAAACCCTGCCGAGCGACAGGGAAGTGCCGGCGACCGGGCCAGCCTCCTCATTTGAACTAGAGTCCGTGTCGGGGCTCGCAGCAGCCGATGCCTCGTAGCTCTGCGAATTTGGCGGAATCGCGATTGCCTCATGCGAAGCGTGAAGATCTGGCACAGAAGACAACGACCTGGCTCGCTGACGGTCGTTCGACACTTGAATCCCGGGTATTGCGCGCAGTAAACTAAACCCGGCACCCCCGGATACGACCTCCGAGCTGGAGCTCGTGGAGAATGTCCTCGTACGTGGACTCTGCCCTCCATTTGCGGTACTCGCTTTTGCGCCCATAGCGATTTACGTTACGCAAATCACACCCGTTGTACACAGAAACTTAAGCTCTTTATGATCACAAACACAACAGTAACACGGCACCCGCGGTATCGGAAGACATTGTACGAATGTGAAAAAGAGCAGGTGGTCCAAACCAAAACAACACTGCAAAACAACAAACACAGGGATATCGTCGGAGTAGGGAAATTGTAAACAGCGTTTGCATGTGTCTTCCTGTCCTGCAAAATTTTGACACTTACGTCTCTTGTATGAAGTTTGCCGCATTTGGATTTGCGCAAGTTTTCGTTCGAAAACATTAGCTTCTTATATCTTTGACTTACATATAGTACCAAGTCGTTCGGTAAAAATTGATAAAATTAATGATTTTAATATCACGAAATAAAATCAATATAAAACATAATACTTATATTACATTGGAAATTTACAAAAACAGTCAAGTAAAATCTTAGTAAGAAATTCAAATAAATAAAAAATATTCAGCTTCATATAATTGGTTTTATATTTGTCGCAAGATCTTATGGATCAAGCGATTCAATTCAAATCTAATTCGTTGAAATTTTGTTGCAAATTTATGTTCTGCTTTTTATAAAATTATTTAATGCTGAATTGAAGAAACCATAAAACGGAAAACTTGAGACATTGTACTGCGCAAAAAAAAATTGTAAATTAAAATAAATAAATGCTAACGTAAATAAAAATAAAAATAGAAAAACATTTATTCAATATTTTAAGTAGGAACATAAACAATAAATTATACATATTTTTCTATTACCAGGATTCCGGAAGTTTGTTTTTTAGGTTGCCGTACTTCCAAAAAAAAAAAGAAATACAAATCCATTATAGGAACACTCGCATATGTCTTTTTGCTCGTCTATCATAGCTAATTTTTTTCGAAACTACTGTACAAATTGAATTGAAATTTAATACACATATGTAAATCGATAACCTAAAGATGGGCTCCATTAAAGTAAATTTATTTACGCTACACGTAAATAAATTTACTTTAATGGAGCCCCTGAACTAATTCAATTATGGTGGTAAATGATTTCTTTTTTAATTTTTACAAACAAATAGAATTTTGTAAATATATCAAATGCTTTAGTTTTTTTTTTTTTTTGCTTTTTGTCTTATAAGTACTTGTCTCAACACACGATCACTTATAAACGAATAATATAATAATATCAACTAACAATACCAGCTAGTAGATACCTACATATTTAATTAGTGCCGGCCACCTTTGATAAGTTTGCGGTTAGGTGGTAGTTTTAACGGCATAAGATAAGTTAGATAGATTAGATAGATTGTTAGTTATTTCATTACTAGTAATATACGTCTCTATCAGATTAACTTTCACAAGGTCTCCCTTGAAATTAAATATAGTGGGACGATCTGACTTTATACCCCAATCTATACCGAAAGTGCAGACAGGGTTAAAATTGCGTTTTCATCAAAAAAAAATCACTAATGGCAACCTAAAACAGCTCAATGTCAGCGAGTGAACGTCATCTGATATGACATACATCACACTGCTGATTTGACATTTGATTGACAACCATTGATTTGATATTCTTGTGAATCACAACAAATTGTAAAATTAAATATTAATTTGTCTGGTTTACAAACCAATTAATTTATTTTTACAATTAAGTAATGAAATGAACAATCCTACGATGAATTCAGCTACCGTGAGTATGCTTTAATGAAGTTATAAAATCGCGTCAAACTTATGTTTGCGATCATACTTAGTTTCATTAACTATTTACTAGATAAATTAAGAACCTGGCTTTTTTTATTTGCATGTATTTAGTGGTTTAATTTCATTATTAATTGAATGAGTAACATTCATCACTAGAGTTAGCAGTACAGCGTTTAATTCATTAAGCAACGTAATGCCAGCTTTGCACGGCTTGCCCTGACGTAGTATTGTTACCACGCTACTTACAGCCAGGTGTGCCTCAGGTGCCGTTGCTGGACGATGACACCATCGCTTTTGGCGAAGAGGACAACGCCAATAAAGATTTCATGTGAGTTATTTTATTTTTTAAATCCACAAAACAATGGCAAGAGAACTCATTTATAAACAGGTTTATACAATATGTATGGTATAAAACAAAATCGGAACGTTTAGCGTTTCTCTTTCTCCTAGACATAAAATCCGCAGATTGATTTGCCTTTTTTGTCATAATAAAATAATAATAAAAAAAAAATTAAACTATTATTACATCTGCAAAAATGCAGTTTTGCCTACATGATTTAGAATAAAAAGCCCCTATTGTATATATCCAGAATTAAATTTCATATATAAATTGAACATCAAGCATCCATTTATCAATTTTATATGTGGTACTTAATTTTTTTTTTTTAATACATACATATATATTAACATTTTTTAAAAAGTGTGTTGATTTAAAAAATGTTAATATCATGCATGTATGTGAAGCTGATATATGATATTATACATAGTGTATGGTATTTTATTTTTATAAACAGCTGTTAAATATTGATACTTAATTCTCTTTGCCAGGATAAGTAGAAGGGGTCTGATACCTTGGCCTTTGATAAGTTAATGAAACAAAATATCACTCTTTGAGAGATCAATAATTTATTCATAGTACTGTTCATGTCTATAGACATCAATTACCACTTCCCATCACAACAGGGGGGCCATCAACTTATCTGCCATTTTAAATTGCATAAAAAAAAATTATTTATAACAATGTTTCAGTCACCCTTACATAGTATTCTTCCACTTGGTGTTCCGGAGTGCAGCTGTGGTGGTATACATCCTCTGTGGATGGTTCTCAGACTCGTTCATCGCTAGCTTTGTGCTGGTGATCTTGCTGTTGTCTGCTGACTTTTGGACTGTTAAAAACATTAGTGGTTAGTAGGAGTATACATAAAAGTAGACTCATAGTTTTTTGTTTGTCATGAAAAACAGTTTTTACATTAATTGCAGATAACAAAAAAAAAGTAGGAATTTAGTTTCCAAATAGAAAATACATCTTGATTTGTGTATGATAATTGTTGCTTACAGATTTATTTGCTTTTTAAAATCTTTTTAAAAACACATTTATGTTTATGTATTCAGGTCGATTACTAGTTGGTCTAAGATGGTGGAATTACGTAGATGACGATGGAAAGTCACATTGGGTGTTTGAAGCAAAACAAGTGAGTTTGATTATGTACATACATACACACATATCTGTCACGCCTGTCTCCCATTAGGGTAGGTAGAAACAATGGAACGCCAAATGCTTTGATTCAAACAAACCTCTTTCGCTTCCTCCACATTCATCAATCTTTTCATACACGCTCGCCGGTTACGGGTACTTTTAATTATGTATTATTAATTTTGATTATGTATTATTAATTTTGATTATGTATTATTATTATTATTTATGTTTTTTATCTGATGTCATTATGTTTTTTTAATATTTGTTTTACATTCATTTATGAGGATTTAATTATTCTTATATATGCTAATGATATAAATGCGAAAGTAGTTTATTAACATATCCAACAGTTCTTATGAATTTTGATATATAAATAAAATTTATAATTAGCTTTGTACAAAAGTCGATTGCTTGGGTACCTCTGTTTCATTCGTCTTTCAACCATGAAGCAGTTGTGTTTGCATGGCTGTGTTTCGATTTGAAGGGTGGGATATGGCGTTAAACTACTGGGTACAGAGGAATAACACCTGAGTCTTCAGGAATGGCAACGCATGGAGGGTCTCATGGGCGAAACAGTATACTCTGTTATGTGCATGGTACTGCTTATGTCTATAGGCGACGGTTACCACTTTCCATCAGGTGGGTCGTCAGCTTGTTTGCCATTCTCTCTCCCTGTGGTCTCCCTGTGGTAAAATATTTTTTTTATATATACTAAATATATTGATATATATGAAAATAGTATTATATTTGATTAATTTTTATATGCTGAAGGAAGAATACAACTTTTTGTTGCTTTTATCCTCAGATATGTTAATTCCTATACCAGAAATAATAAAATTACTGGGTCTGTCTTTGTTTCCTGGGTAAACAATCCAACTAGTGGTCTAGTCTACTAGTCCAGAAAAATGATGTGCACCTGCTTAGCATTTCAAAGGCCCCCAACTCAAACAGCTCACTCACTCATTGATCTTGTTTATCAACTTTCAGAATCGTGTGAATAGAAACGAGAGTCGCCTGTTCTGGTTGGGCCTGATATTGTGCCCACTCATCTGGTCCGGCTTCTTCATCATTTGCCTGTTTGGCTTAAAGTTCAAATGGATGGTAAAATATTGCAATATAATTTAACCTCCTTTTTCATAAAAAAAAAAAAAACAACTTAAAACTCTACTACAAAACTATTTTAATATATTTGATATGAAGACCAATTTTGTGAGAGACTGGTGCTTGCGGTAGGTTTATAAGAACCTGCGTTACAAGTCACCACTGCCCCATCTCCATGGACTACACAAATACAAGGCAACCAATTAGTGTTATAATACACAGATAACAATAATGAGATATAAAATACAAGAATAAACTTAACGTTAAAACTTATTTCTAATATATAACTTAGGCAAAGTTAATTATAAAATACAGACTTTGTGTGTGTGTTTGTGTGTGCGTGTGTGTGAGTATAAAACATAATTTATATATTTTATCACTTTAAATTTTTACTCAAAAGAAAAGACAATTTAGTTAGATACCTAAAATAGCTTTATTAGATTACTTCATGTAGATGTAGTTTGTAGATTTTTATAAATAAGGGACATATAAAATTAGATGTACCTAACACAATGTGTTCTCTGTAAATGTCTATGGCTGTAACCAAAAATTTTGTCAGTCACAACGAATTTTATTGCTTTTTGCTAAAAGAAATCTCTTTTGGAGATATGCTCGCGTTTGTGCACTATTATGTTTGTTTTTCCATTTCGATAACCTTTTGTGTACAATAGAGAATAAAGTTTTTTTATTTACTAGATATTCCAGTGAACATTCTATCACTTACAATGCCATCTCTTAAATCTGAAGTAGTACTTCTCATATTAAATAACTTATTTTTAATTTTTCAGTTTTTCACCTGAACTTTAGTTTTTCAGACTTTTTTCTTTCACACCACCTCTGTATTATAATGAATTAAACATCAAAGAAATATCTTAATCGGTCAAGCCATTTTTGAATTTTAGTGAGACTAATGAACAGCAGTTGATTTATATATAATAATAATATAATAATAATAATAATAATTTATTTCAAAATAAATGTTACATTTTATATATACACAACAAACAGTCTTGCTAAGCCCAATTTTAAATTTATAAAAATAATTTTTCGAATACCAACAGTCATATGTGCAAAGTTACAAACGTGTTTAAATCATCTGCACAAAACTCATATATTAATAAAAAAAATATTTACTCAACATAATAACAGAGATTTAATAAATCTTGATAATTTAAAAATAACATTTCACTATATATTAATGTATGTTCCAGCTGCTATTTTTTTTTAATGGGTGATAATGGAATGGTAACCCTGCCTGTGCTATCTGTATACACCGGCGGGTCACCAGTGAAGGATGATAGGTGAGGATGAAAAGGCAGTTCAGTTAGCCCATCACGACGAATTCCACTAGAATTAACCACGGTGGTTTCCAGGTGGAACCGCGTGGAGGTCGACCTGATAGGGTGTATTGCTAGCAATGGGTCAGTTAAACCCCATTACTAACAATCCTTTTCCCTCTGTTTCAGCTGCTAGTTCTGATCGCGCTGACGCTGACCGGCGCGAACCTATACGGTTACATTAAGTGCAAGATTGGCGCCAAGCAGAACATTGGCACCGCCACCAGCGACTTCGTGCGCAAGCAGCTCCTGCAGAACGCCACCTCCTTCATGTTCTCGCAGCCGTCGCCTCCCACCACTGGCAACACCGGCGTCGTTTAATGATTTATCGTTAACAATATGGAATAAGTATTAGATGAGAAATTAAAACGATCCACACAATGGGCGATTTTATAATTAGAGCTGCGTATACAGAAAGTGATTATGCTATTATGTTTTTTTTTTAATGGGTGATAATGAAATGGTAACACCAACCTGCGCTAACGGTATACGCTGGTGGAACACTAGTGAGGAATGATAAGTGACGATGAAAGTAGGTCTGTTGGCCCATCATGACGAATTCCACTAGAATTAACCACGATAGTTTCCAGGGAAAAACGCGTGGAGGTCGACCTGATAGGGTGTATTGCTAGCAATGAGGAAATTTTCCCTTGCTCTTGTGGTTGTTCCATACTTAACTTCAGTTTTTTCCAGAATGGCACATAAAATATATAGAAATATTTGATGATCTTAGTTTAACACCGTCTCAGGGGGGGGGGGGGATGAGTTTGTTACTAATGCGGGTTACTGGCCTCGTTGCTAGCATTATACTTTGCCAAGTCGACCTTCACTTGTTCTCCCTGGAAACAATAGTACTGAATTCATCACAATGGGCTAACTGACCTACCATTTCATTATCACCTATCATCTCTAACTAGTGCCTTGCCTGTATACGCTACAGTTAACGTTGGAGAGATATCTATTCCGTTATCAACCATTAAAAAAATAACACTGCCTCACCTTCCTATGGTCGCAGATTCGAAAATACAAATTTTGTTGTAAAATTAATAATCAGACATTCATTAGTTGGTCAATTTATCTTGGTTTCGGTATTTCTATCACCCAGTACCAGTACTGGATGATTGATTCTACTTATAATAATTAATACCAACAAGTTTACCATGGTTTGTTAGTAGGTGGCGCTGTTTAACACGTTGGGCCCGGCGCCGGTCTCTGGGGACCGGCAGCGAACTTTCCGTGTGGCCAGCGTCGGTCCCTGGGGACCGGCACTAGAATTTTCCGTGTGGCCAGCGTCGGACATATTCAATGTCATGGACAATAACTATTTCCAAAACTAAATTCAATTCTCTTTTTACGAACAATCTGTATAGGATCTTGGATAGGTCTTTTGTAACTGATCACCTCTCGAAGGTACGTACGTGGTTTTACTATACATCATACGAAAATATGGAATAGAATCACACATACATTACACATGCACCTAAAAAACGTCCAAAATAGCGTGACAAAGAATTCCTTATTTCATTAGTACTAAAGTAATCATTTGGCGATAGCTTACAACATTGTATCTCTTGCCGGCTGCCGGCTGAACGGAAAGGACAGCAAATTGGGCGCCGGGCTCAACGTGTTAATATACCATGTAATCAATTCAAATTACCATTCATGTTTATATCATGCTATGCATAGTATCGTCTTGGAACATTAAACATGTCTCTATACAATAGCACTTATCTACTTTCCTGTTATAATGTGACAGTAAGGAAGTCGTGTCACGCTATGGCAATAAATTATAAAAGCGCCCAATAGAATAGAATAGACAGCAAATAATACTGTACTAGGAACATATTCGAGTATGTTGATCCCATGATTGTCTTAGCGACTGGAGCAACAATTAATAAATTGCAATTCGTAATTCCTTACATTCCTAATATCTGTTTTACTATTATAACTAGAATATGTTCATATCAAAATTGTCTATTTTTTAAATTAATACGTTAATTTTAAATATACAAAGAATTGCAACAAAAATGTTTGATTTACAACGTGTGGAAAATGCCACTTTATAATATATTTATATATATATATATATATATATATATATATATATATATATATATATATATATATATATATATATATATATATATATATATAATCATTTTTGTAAATACACTCTTGCCTTACGTTCCGCTATTGGGAATCAGAGGAGACTAGGTACCTCTGTCCCGTTCGTGTTTCAACCGTGAAGCAGTTGTGTTTGCATGGCTGTGTTTCGGTTTGAAGGGTGGAATATGGCAGTGAATTTACTGGGTACAGAGGAATAACACCTGAGTCCTCAGGGATGGCAACGCATGGGGGGTATCATGGGCGAAACAGTATACTCTGTTATGTCCACGGTACTGTTCATGTCTATAGGCGACGGTTACCACTTTCAATCAGGTGGGCCGTCGGCTTGTTTGCCATTCTAAAAAATATTTACCACACATGTTTAGTATATTTTATTACAAGTGTTCCTTTACTGGCATTGAGGTGTAGTGGTTTGTTCCTATTGTTGTCTCTAACGACTTCCTGGATGCTTGTGGGCATCGGTAGTACATTGTATTCTAAACAGCTCTATCACAGGAGTAAATATTATCAAAAATGTTGTATCATTATTTATACTGGAACAATAAACTATATGTAGACACCATGACAATTACATGGTGCTTAAATGTATTTACACTTATTTTAAAATATTCATATTGTGCTGTAAGTAATATTTATAATTAATTATTGTACCAATTGTAAATGTGTTAAATGTGATATTAAATAATTCTTATTCTGTTTGACACTCTTTTTTTTTTATATTGTTTATCCTTTATTATTTTATTATTTCTAGATTTTTTATTACACTGTCCTGAATCGTTTGTCTCGTTTTAGGACGCTCCTCATGTGTTCATGAAAAAACGTCATATTGTTAGTGCCCCATTTGAGAATTTTGTCATGTCGTACAAAATAATAGGTATTTGCTGCATTTTTAATAGACATTAATATTGTCCCAGAGTAATAGATAAATTATTTATTTTTATCTATCAAAAGCGTAAAATGTAAGAGATACCAATTTTTGCAACGAGGTTTTTTCACAGCAAAAAGTTGTGGAATCAGGTAAGTATATAAAATCAAGTCAGTTTTATTTATAGTGACACTACATGGCAACATATTATAACAGAATACTTTATTATTAAACACTGCTTAGATTTATTTAGTGATAGAAATAAAAGATTTGGTATTAGTTTATGGCCGTGTGGTTCTGGCATAGATTAGCCCACCCCTTCCTTTCTCGTGAGTGTCATACGAGGCGACTAAGTTAACTTAATGGTAGAGGGAGGAGCAACAGCGTCTTCCTTAAAACACCTGTAGCGCCTAACTGCGGTTGCCAATCCGTCTGCCAAACGTGGCAACTATTAGCAAAACCTTCCTTGTGTTTACCAGTGGACAGTTTTTTTTTTGATCGTTGAAAATGTAATGGTAACCCCGCCTGCGCTAACGGGATACGCTATTATATAATAAAACAACATAATAATGTAGATTACACAATTGTATATTAACATTACTATTTTACATTGAAATTAGAATAAAAAAAGAAAAACATATAAAAAACAAAAGTTAGAGTCATGCAATTTTAAATTTCGGCTTTTGGTTCAGAACAAAAATCAATGTTTGCTTTGTTTCCTTATAAAGAATTCACACCTGAAGGGGTGACATAGCGGATGCAAGTTTGTATGGGAATTCTGTTATAAATTGAAGTTGTAAGTACGAAAAATTAGTTTTAGACTTCTCATTAAAAATAAAATACTTTTCAGCATTTTTTGGAAATTTCACCCCTAAAAACGAGAAATGGGTGAATGAAAATATGTACAGGAATTCTGTTATTTATAAAGTTACAAGTAAGAATCTTGATTAAAACAAAACTTTTCAACAGTTTTTGGAAACACTATCCCTCGGAGGATGAAATAGGGCATGATTTGATTTAGATGTAAATTAACGCAAAATTAAAAGTTTTAAATTAACCTCTTTATTTATAAACATTAAAAGCTTTTACAGACCTATTTATTTAGTTTAGTTATTTGTTTTGTCGTTGTTTTTCAAATAGAGAATTTAGCGCAATAGAAAAAGACAAAACGATAACTAATATAGGTTTATACTTTATAAGATGTTTCTATTAATAAGGGGGTTGGTCTTTCGTTAAAAAAATATGTAAAATGGGAGTTAGTGATAAAATAAAATTGTGGGTAACAACTATAATTTTTAAATGTGACGTGGAAAATTGACTTTCGTGACATATCGAATACTACACGCGAGTAAAGCCACTGGCAAAAGCTAGTGATAATATATACTACTGGCAACCTGCCCCGGCTTCGCACGGATTCTTTACAGAATGTATAAAATATACTTTTATTATTATTTTATTATAAGCTTTCGATAAAATTGGTCGTGTAGTTTTTGAGTTAAATTGTAACAAACAAAAAGTCAATCATGTTTCCTCGTTATACATAATATTTATTAATTTACATTGGTACACTACCTAAACTTTTAGTGTTTTTTCCTATATATTCTTTCTCTATATATATATATATATTCTATAGAGGTGTAGCGTAAATTATTTTTGTGTATAAATTACAAAGCGGCAAAAATATGCTCCAGGTGAGGCTCGAACTCACAACCCCGGCATTTCTCACACGTATACTGTCTTATAAGTACCATGCGCTAACCAACTGCGCCACTGGAGCTATGGTGATAGTGACGAAATTTGTAATGACTCTCTATTTCATCATACAAGTCAATTGACATTCTTTTTTATAACAGGGAAATGTCAAATTTGATATAATTTTTTTCCACAGTGTATCTAATAAATTACAAAATTTCTCACAATTTACAATAATTTTTGACATAATATATTTATTTCATATTTGTTTCTAAATGTCGTAATAAAATATTACGGCACTAAATCGGTGAAGGACGAAAACTGAATGAAGAAAATAAACAAAATGGAAACGTCATCTGTGCTCTGTTGTGATTCTTGAAGTAATCAAATATTTTTTTCGTAATATTAATGCATTAAAGAAGTTCTACTTGTTGATAATATAATTGCAATAATTCTACGGCTTGTGTAGTGTTTATCTAATGCGACCACAATATGAATTGGTTCGACACGTCGGGTTTGACGAGTTTAGCAAAATCTGCACTAAAAGAAGCTCAGAAAACCATCGATAAAGCTCTAGATATACAGGATGAAAGTAGTGAGGAGCAAGAGGACGAGCCTCCATCTCATAGCGGTACAGCGGGAGGCAAATCTTCGCCAGGTAACAGCAATACGCCCTCCAAAGATAATTCTGATTTCTTTTCTTCTTGGGGCCTAACTGTCAGCGCTGAGAGTACCAAAGATGAGCCAATTAAAGAACAGCCCGTGGTCACTGAGAGTCCTTCCAAATCTACGTCGCAAAGCGTATGGGGCTCTTTTGCGGGGTCATTTTTTGAACAACCTAAGAGTGGTGATGGTTCTACTATTATTCAACCACCAAAAGCAAAGTCTATGAATTTAATATCTGATAGTAAGTACGACAGTCAAGATGACTTGTTCTCTAAAAGCCAGCTTGTTATGTCCGATGGTGGGGACGGGTTAGAGTCTAAATTTAAAAGTAGTAAAGATGAAATGTTCTCCAAAGATGAAGATAGACGTAACTCAACAAAGTCGAATAGATTGTCTCTCGTGTCGAGCAGGAATAGTTCAGATTCTGTGGAGGTACTTTCACAGAGTTTGAAGACAACTCCTGATTCAGAAGCAGTGTCATGTCAATCTATGTCCCACAGTAGCAGTACTGGAACAAAACACAATTCAGAATCTGTTGAAGTGTTGCCAGACAGCCTCCTCAGCCCGAGTTCTATTGAGTGCCTTGGTTTTGACAGTTCTCCCTCAAACTTGTCCCCTGTTGGTGACGTTAGTGACAAGAAGTCCACTCCTGTCGGTGATAGAACGGAAAGACCCGAAACTGCTGATAGTGTAAGTTTGGTGGCTGATGACGATGAAGATACAATGTCTTACAATTCAATTTCGGAATGCACAGCCCCCACTGTTTTAGATACTGAGGAGAAACCTGTGAGCCCCTTCCAAAAGACCACAAGAACTGAACCTAGAAGAGGAATAGACAAAGACTTTATACATTTGGACCAATCTGTTGTACCTTACAAAATGCAAGTGAGTGAAAACTCTTCCAATGATGGTTCATGGTCTGATCGGACGTTGAATGCTGACAATGATAGCATCATACTAGACACTGCAATTGAAGAACAGAAAAAAGAACATGAACAAGAGGACATATTGATTGAGAAGTTGAGTGACTCATCTTCTTTCTATGATGTAAAAGTTACAGACATGTTGAGGTCAGAAAGTTCAGTATTTGTTAATGTTGAGAAACAGCAGTGCTCCACTGATAGCAATGAGTCTTCACAAAAAGAGAGCAGCGTTAAAGAGAGAACTTCACCAATAAGTTCAGATAGTAAGAGTGATCTAGTCAAGATTGGTTCAGATAGGACATCAGGGCACACATCAGGGGATGAGCTAGAGACAGCTACGTCATCAGATATAGAAATTATACCTAGTCCAAATGGAGATAATGGACATGGCTTCTGCAGGAACAGCCCAGGCAAGTATGCCTTTAAGCAGTCTACTTCCCCTAACCTTGTGGACTTGGTTCTGGGAAAATCCCTGGCTTCCAAAGTTCGTGGACACAATAGAGAATTATCAGAAGCGTCTGTACAGAGTAACACTAGTGATGAGAGTCAGGGATCAGAAAATGATCGTTTGATGAGGCGGCTGTGTGAAATGGCAGAAATTTTGGAGGCAAGGGAGAACAAGCTCATGGAAGTGAGTAGAAGTAATGCTGAACTGGCTGAGAATAATGCTGACTTGAAGACGCAGGTGGAATCTTTGATGGCGAAACATGAAGGTGGTGATATCAACTTGATAACAGAGGATTATACCCAGAGAATGTCAGCACTGGAAAAGAAATTTCAGCAAGCCATTAGGGAAAAGGTATGTTATTGTTGCCACTTAAGATAAATCATTAGTCTTTTTTTTTTATTACAGTTAATGTTTTGAGTATTTACGTAATTATATAGACTTTTTAAATAAATGCCAACTAATGTCTGTGTTACCATTTACCACAATAGTAACAGTGGACAAAGGCCTCTGACTACTCTATCAGAGATTACAGTCATGAGTATGTTTATGTATTTTATGGTAACTAGTAAACTTGTATTTGACCTGCACATTCTAGGATCAACTCAGAAAACAGCTAGACACATTAAAATCTGAGTCTTCATCAAGAAAAAACTCATCAGAACTTGAGAATACACTGAAGGAGAAAGATGATGTGATAGCTCAACTGCAAGAAGAGGGCGAGAAGCTGGCGAGGCAACAACTGCAGCATTCAAATATAATCAAGAAGTTGAGGGCTAAGGAGAAGGACAACGAGCAAGTCATTAAAAGTCTTAGGTAAGTAAAAGATGAAACAGTTTCAGTGTAAAATGACCCTTTGTCTTACCATTCTTCACCTCGCTACTCCTAAGTTTTAGGCCTCCAAATGAAGTCTGAAATAGAGTCATTGTCATACAAAGATAGGGTACTCTTTATTGTTTCCTCCATAAGATTACAACAGTATAAACTTATTATAAATACAAACAATTACAAGGAAATATTATACTAAGAAAACATTGGGCGGCCTTATCGCTAAGAGCGATCTCCTCCAGGCAACCTTTGGATGGAGAGGAGTAATTATAAACAGCTTGACTGGAGGCAGGAAACTCTATTTTTTGAATACATATAGAGATATGCCTATATGTGGATAAATAAATGTACATTTTAAGTTATTAATACATATTTACATATAAATACATATGTAGTTACAAAAATAAAAAGAATTTAAGTTTTGAATTTTTATCATTGTTTATTTCTATAATAAAGTATAAGCATAAGGGATTTGACAGTCCTTCAAAATGGTTGTCTATCCAAATACTACGAATTTCTCAGGTTTTGTTTAAAATTATAAAATTTTTAAAACTAATTTATAATACCAGCAAAACCCTAATCAATTCCATTATATTTTTAAAGCGAAACTTTGTATTAATGTCGTCTGCGCTTCATAACTACCTTTAGCACACATGTACTAGTTGTGTTTGCGTGTAGGGTAAATTTGGGCAAAATATCTATATATATTAGACGATGCACTTCAAAATGATACCACTTCTATAGTTCCACTAGTGTTTTTTATATTTATTTATATAACAAAATTATAGTTATAAAACATTACATGAAGAGATACAAGAATGGTATGCAAAAATTCAAATCATTCTTTTTTTTTTAAATATACTATATGGCTTCTTTCCAGCCATGACCACATATATTGGCCCCATAATGGATATATTAGATATCTGTTATCAAACAGAACAGAACAGAACCCAATAAAGGAGAATATAGATTTTTTTTAAGGGTGAAAATGGTATGGTGACCCCGCCTGCGCTAACGGGATACGCTGGTGGAGCATCAGTGAAGGGTGATAGATGAGAATGAAAACAGGCCAGTTAGGCCATCATGATGAATTCATCAGGAATTAATCATGATAGTTTCCAGGGAGAACCGCGAGGAGGTCGACCTGGTTGGGTATATTGCTAGCAATGGGATTCTCAGTCTCCTTTACTAACAATCCCTTTCCCCCCGAATGTAGATATTTGACTGGTATGAGCGATTACGCGATAGGTGGTCATCAAATTTCAGAAAAACCCAATAGATATTGTATATTACCCACCTCTGAGGGGTACAATAGTGCTGTTTCTGTCTATAGGCGACTGTTACCACTTTCCATCAAGTGAGCCGTCAGCTTGTTTGCCATTCCAAGTTTGAAAAAAATGTGTCATGTTTATGTTCAGAGACAAGGTAGCGGACCAAACTGCCGAGATGGACAGGCTGAAGCGATCTATGGCCGCCAAGGAAGAGCTAGAAGTAAATCAAATAGAGGCAGTGTACAACCTCACCACCGCCAATAAGAAATTGGAGATAGATTTAATCGAGGTATTCTCAATTTCGTTTATAATATAGTATATATCATATATGTGTAAGTATATTTGTTATTTATATATATTTATACGTTTATATATGTAATTTTAGTATGTATGTATATCAATAATTACTAGTACACCTATCCCCCGATTTACACGGTAGATACGTTCCAGAGAAAAACGTGTAAATCGAAAAGTAAAAATTTTCAAGTCAAAACCGTGTAAATCGAAAAGCTTGCAGAAAATGCATAATTTTGCTACTTAACAGTTGTGATTTTTTTCAATATTTTTAGGTGTACACAGAAATAAAAATAAAATGCATTGACAGGTTAAAATATGTAATATATTACGGAAACACTGTTTTTTTATTTAATTACAATGCATTAAACAGAAGAACAAAAAATAAAACCAAAGGTGTTTTATTATCCTTCATCACTATCAGAAATTACTCACATTCTTTTTTTCGGAATCGAAGGTTGGAATTCACTTTCATCACTCGAAGTGATTTGTGCCGATTCGATGTTTGAAGCAGAAATATTTACATTCTGAGAGGTGGTAATAAAATCGGTTATTAACAATTGTTTCGAATTTTTTGTAAAATCGATTCGATCCAAAATTTCGATTTTAATTTCTAAAGAAATAACTTTTCTTTTAACTTCTTTCGACATTATAAGCCTATAATTTTTTTTTTTTTACATTATGTTAATTTGTAAAAATCTTAATTATGCACTCACTTGTAATTTACGAATATGAAAAATTAAATCTTTCTGACACTGTGAAACTTTCACTCAAATACAATTTTCCGTAGATAAAACTTTAATTTTATGCGAAGAAATACAGACACAGTGTGCATGTGCAGCAAGTCAGCACATAAGCTCGGGATTCCCCGTGAGATGTGTACACAGCGCACGTGTTCAAACACAGTAGCATTTAGTAGAGTGCGATAAAAACAAAAAAAAAAAAACTTATTTGGAAAACCGTGTAAAAGCGAAAACGTGTAAAACAAGTACCGTGTAAATCGGGGGATAGGTGTATCATATTCGTGTATTCTGACACTTCCCTATGGTTGACTGGGAGATAATGCTTTTAGCATTAAGTCCGCCATGTATACATATTTGTACTAATGAATAAATAAATAAATAAATAGTTTTCATTGGTCTGTATGCTTTTTGTGTGTATTCTTGACAGTAAATTACTAACACTAGTAATTTCTGGGGTTTTAGAATAATTCTGGACATGGTTTCTGATCTTTGAGTACCCAAGTTTCTGATATTCAGTAAAATCATTTTAGTTTTCAACCAACTTAAAAAGATGGAGGTTCTAAATATTTCATTATCATCTATTGAACGACTAGATACCGCTAGTCAAAAATCTGAGTTAAAAACAATCACAATACAATAGGAATGATAGGATTGTTTAATTAATTCTCTCTAAGGGCAGGCCATCAAAACACAGGAAAACCTTAACAGCCAATTTTACATTGTCAACAACGCCATCTAGTATCTGTTTTTAAACTAAATTATCGATTTGAAAATACATTTCTTAAATATCCATTAAAAAAAAGTACCACTACAGTCGGAAACACATTTAATGTATTGTGGTAGTGATGGAAATGTAAAGTATTTATCTGTGTGGTGTCCAGACACGGGGCACCTTGGAGGACACGCAGGCGCGGCTGGAGAGCTGCCGCGCGGCGCTGGAGGCGGCGCGGCGCGAGCTGGCCGAGCTGCAGCGCGGCGCCGCCGACGCCGCGCGCCGCGCCGCCCGCGCCGACCGCCTGCAGCGCGACGCCGACCACGCGCGCCGCGACGCCGACCAAGCTGCCGCCGATCTACGCCAGCTGCGCGCTGATTTGCAGCGAGGTAACTTCACACTCATTTATCATTATTACTAATGTTGAAAGGATTTTTTTTTAATGGGTGAAAATGGAACAGTAGGTCCGTTTGCGCTATCGGTACATGCTGGTGTGGCGTTAGTGAGATATGATAGATGAGGATGAACTAGATCTGTATGGTCCAAACACCATGAATGCTGCCGTTAATAGATATTGTAAATTAAAGATGATAAGTAATAGATTATAATCAGAGCACGTCGACGGCACTTATTTGATGTTCCATTACGAAAAACAGAGTCAGCTAAGCAGGCTCCCCTATTTCTTGCATTGAAACTATTCAATGATATTTTGAGCCAGTATCCGCAATTGGATGTATTTGCCCCTAACTTGCTGGAGTTTTGTCGAGTGACCACAGAATATTTGTGTTCAGATGTTTTTTGTTTACAATAGTAAACTTATTATAAATATAAATAATTACAAGAAATAATCTTTTTCTAGCGATCTCTTCCAGGCAACCTTTGGATGGAGAGGAGTAATTATAAACAATTCTTGTTATATATGAGTGTGATACATATAATAATATAAATATTATCCCTACTCATTAAATAAGTTTGAGTTAAATCTTTTTCTATTATTCTTGTTATATATGTGTAATATTCCTTTTTATATGTTATTGTACTCATGCTTTCCTGGGTGAGCGTATTGAAAGACTGTAAGGCTCACCTAGTGGATTTAATAAATAAATATATAAATAAATAATTCAAACTGTTGACAAACAATATTGATGATGCATAAATACACTATACGGGTATGATATGTTTTATATATTTATTTATTTATTTATTCATAGGAAAACCAGGACTACACTAGAGCAAATAGATAAAGTTTTAGGATAACAAAATAAGCCACTAATAGGTTTTCACAAGTAGCAACAATATAGACACAAGGCGCTGTACACAAAGCAACAAAAATAGCGAGTTAAAAAAAAATGAATGAATGATGAATTCATAGTGATGAATTCATAAAGCATACATTGATTAAGCTTGTCCTGATAGAGTATATTGCTAGTAATGGAACTGTTAGATTCTCATAACTAACAATCCCTCTCCTTCCTGTTTTTAGATTAGGATTAGACTGTGGTTTTCTTGATTTTAGAAATTAAAAAGGTTAATTTTTTTTCTTCTTTTTCTAATCTGCTCATTGGCAATCTGTTCCTTATAGAATAATAATGCAATCTACTGTTTGGATGTCAGGTTTAAATTATTTATTATATGATAAGGTCAATTCATTAATCAGCTCTCAGTCTCTGTCTGCAAATCTTTCTACCAGTCCTTGGATGCTGTGTCTTTTTAATCGGGAGAAACTAATACTTCCCGATCCTTGTAATTGAGCGGCCAATTCATTCCTATGCCTATTTAATCTGGATTGATAATATTTATTTATTTATTTAAAGGAACATCAACAACATATTGCATTATAACATATAGGTATAACAAACATTAAATATAATACAATATTAATGCACATTCCTATTATAGGTTATATATATATATATATATATATATATATATATATATATATATATATATATATATATATATATATATATATATATATATATATATATATATATATATATATATATATGTCACGCCTGTCTCCCATTAGGGTAGGCAGAAACAATGGAACGCCAAATAGATTATACGCTTCTTCGACATTCAAATCTTGTCATACACGCTCGTCGGTTACGGGTACAATTATAATGAATTAAATAACACTAGACTACAAATATTTTAAAAGTTGCATTATTAGTTATAGAAATATACAATGTAACCTTAGTTTGCTGAATGTCTCGCTTTTCTGTTTTACCGTTTTCAGTTTGATGTTTGATGATTGAGTATGTTTCTTATTGTCTTACTTTGGAACCTTTCCAGTATTTCTACATTGCTGTTACTAGCTGAGCCCCAAAGTTGTCCAAATAGCTTTGATGATGGTTTTGTATATGGTCATTTTGCAATCATATGTCAGTCGGGATTGTCGTCCTATTAGCCAGTACAAGCTTCGGATTTTTGTGTCTAGTTGTTTACGTTTAATCCTATATATGCTTTTGCCAGGTAAGTTACCATTATTTGCTTGGGTTCATTGTATAACAACACAGGTGGACATGTTTTTCTTCTCAGTGTGAAGGTTACATGAACAGATTTGTATTTGTCGACTTTGATGTGCCATGTTTCAAACCATTGTATAACCAGAATAAGATGTCTTTGGAGATTTTCCGTTGCTATTTTTGGGTCTCCGTGAACAGATAGGAGGGTTGTGTCGTCCGCATATGTGGCAGTGGTGGTGACATCTACGAGTGTTGGTAAATCAGCAGTGAAAATCAGGTACAGGACCGGATCCAAAATGCTGCCCTGTGGCACTCCAGAAAGTATTTCATACATTTTAGAAAGCTCGTCGTTATGATATATTTCAAAACATCTTTTATTTAGATACGATTTTATTATTTTTAAGAAAGATCAAGGAAGCACCTGTTTAATATTGACTAGAAGCCCGTCATGCCAGACTTTATCAAATGCCTAACTGATATCCAGAAATATAGCAGAGCAGTATTTTTTGTTTTTTAGAGCTCTGTTTATGATGTCAACTGTGTCCCTCTCTAAAACCAAACTGGTGCTTTGGTAGGTTTTTGTCTAGATCTTGATCCATCCAATTTAATATTACCTTTTCAAATAATTTACCAACGATAGATAATAGGGCCTATTGGTCTGTATGAATACACTTCTTGAGCAGGTTTCCCTAGTTTCAATAACATAATAACTTTTGCTATCTTCCACTGGTTGGGAAATGTTAATAATATCAGACAAGTATTAAAAACTGAAACAAGTAGTAATTTCGTTGGTAATTTCTTTAAAAGTATTGTATCTATTTGATCATATTCCTGTGCTTTACAGTAATAGGACAGTAGTAAAAGAATACACTTTCCAGGTGAGTTGCAAACGCATTCGTTTTATTCTTATCAAATCGAGCCCATGCTCCAGATTTTATAGGAACTACTTGTGTTTTCGGACGGTTTAAGCTTTTTGTGGCTTTCCATAAAGAATAGTTTGTGTCGTTTGTTGGGATAAGTTTGCTAAGATATTCTTGAACATTCCTGTTGTTTAGATAGCTTAAGATTAAGATAAAGTTTAAGATTTTCAATTCTTCTCTATTGAAAACGGCTTTATCTTTTGTATCCCGAGTATTGTGCCAAGCCTTACGTAGTTCTTTCAGCGATTTTGTCTTTTATGAAAGTCGGATATACAAGTGTCTTTGGGATCAGTATTCTGCGCTTAGGAGTAAACCTGTGCACCGCAATATGTAATGTTCTATTAAAGTCCTCTACCGCATCTTTTACTTCATCAGAGGATTTCAATAATATTTTTAATTCAATCATAGATGTGAGTATATTTCGATACTTTTCCCAATTGATGTCTCAGGTGTGTTGCTTTTGTGATGCTTTTCCTGAAGTAGTATTTTGTAATGTACGTTCAGGATAACAGGAGTATGATCAGAAGAAAGGTCTATTATTTGCTCAGTACTCATGTTGTTAAGAGAAAGGTTTTTGGTTATAAAGAAGTCCAATAAGTCTGGTTTTCTTAAGTCCAATAACTTTGGTATTCTTGTTTTGTCAGTAAGCCAGTAAGTAGGTTCGCTAGTTGATAAACAACCAAGATTGAGATCTTCCATAACACGAATGAGTTGTCTTCCTTTAGGGTTTATAAGACGTGAACCCCAATGTAGATGTTTGGCATTCTAGTTACCTCCACAAACAAAGTGGTGTCCCAATGTACTCAAGTATTCTTTGTAGTTTTTCACATTTAATGCATGCCGTAGAGGGCAGTAGATTGCTGACACAGTAATTTCTGAGACATTATCGGTGAATTTGATTGAAGATGCTTGAATTTTCTCTGTGCAAGGATCAAGTGGATAGTGCTTTAGTTTATATTGAATTGTATAACATAGATTGGTAAATAATTTGGTGCTCATCTGATGGAAAATAGTAATTGTTATACGATATTGCCATTGAACGAGGAGGGATCAAAAAGTAGAAAGAACGACATACTCTTTGGTAAGAAAAAAAAATACTGGCAGGCATAGCTCAGATACATATTTGTAATATTAATAAAGAAAAAAATCTTCGTTTCTCCTTTGTTTTCTTCTGAATGTAATCATTTGTTTCCTTTGTGTCGGATCATGTTCTCGAAAAGAATAAAAATGAAGTGCAAGCCGTTATTAAATACTTCTGTTTAAAAAAGTCAGCGACGCAAGAGATTCATTGCGATTTGGAGGCAACATTAGGAGAGTCTGCTCCGCCGTATTCCACTGTCGCAAGGTGGGCTTCTCAATTTCGAGTAGGGAGAACGAGCACGAAAGACAAACATCGTTGCTTCCGTCCATTGGCGTTAGTCACCCAAGAAAATGTTGCGAAAGTCGAGAAAATTGTATTGAGCGATCGAAGAGTTACCATCCAATACTTAATCCAAAAAACGAGCATTTCATATGAAAGTATTCAATCCATATTGAAACAATCTTTAAATAAGAGAAACGTCTCCGCAAGATGGGTGCCGAGAATGTTAACCGACAGTCAGAAACAAAATCGACTTGACATTTCGAAGATATTGTTGAACAAGTTTCAAGAAGATTCTGAAAATTTTTGTCTTGTTTCGTAACAATGGACGAAATATGGGTCCATTATTTTGATCTCGAGAGAAACAATTTTCGCAATTGAAACTGCCATCATCACCGACCCCGAAAAAGTTTCGTGCCGTAGCATCGGCTGGCAAGGTTATGGCCTCAATATTTTGGAACTCAGAAGGGATATTGTTGATTGATTACTTGGAGCGTGGAACCACTATTACAGGCCAATATTATGCAGCTTTAATTCCCAAGTTGAGGAGTGCCATCAAAGAGAAGAGGGAAACTTCGAAGGGATGTGCTGTTTTATCACGACAAAGCATCCGCGCACTGGTCAGCAGTTGCGATGGCCGCCATTCAGCAAGCTGGCTTCGAATTGGTTGACTACCCCCCTTATTCACCAGATCTGGCATCTAGCGATTTTTATCTGTTCTCCAAATTGAAAGAATACTTAAGGGGGAACAGGTACAAAGACGATAACGAGGTGAACGATGCCGTGGAGAGCTTTTAGCAGGATCAAGACAATTTTTTTTTTTAAAGGGATTGTATCCTTGGAGAAGCCCTGGACTCAGTGTGTAGAGAGACTCAGCGACTATGTAGAAAAATAAATTATGAAGTTATCAATAGTCATTATATTCTATCTCATTCTCACTATTTTTTGATCCCTCCTCGTATTCTATTTCATATATCATCCTAAGTGAATAGTGTGATAATTTGGCCGACGAGAGCAATCAACCAGTAAGGAAAATTCCACGTTTAATCATTGGCTGCTTTGAGTTTATCGTGTGTTTTTTATGTTACGTTTGACGGATCCGAGGTTGATAGGATCATAGTCCGTCGATGTGGTACCCATAATAAAATTAATGTGAACTCGTCCTGTGCGGCAGAGGAGAAGAAGTGGGTGTCGCGCGAGGAGGCGCTGCGGGCTCAGGTGCGCGAGGCTCGCGAGCACGCGGCGGCGCTGGCGGCGAGCGGCGCGGCGAGCGGCGCGGCGGGCGGCGGCGAGGCGGCCGGCGCGCTGCTGCAGCAGCTGGCGGCGCTGCAGCGCGGCGCGCTGGACCGCGAGCGCGCGCACCGCGCCGCCAGCGCCGCGCACGCGCAGCGCCTCGGTACGTAGCGCCCTCCCTCCGCAGGCGGCCGCGCTCAGCAGCAGCCGGCGGCGCTGCAGCAGCCGGCGGCGCTGCAGCAGCTGGCGGCGCTGCAGCGCGGCGCGCTGGACCGCGAGCGCGCGCACCGCGCCGCCAGCGCCGCGCACGCGCAGCGCCTCGGTACGTAGCGCCCTCCCACCGCAGGCGGCCGCGCTCAGCAGCAGCCGGCGGCGTATTTCCCCATGTCTAGACATGGTTCGGTTTCAATTGTATCATAGGAACCATTGTATTGTGCAGCGGAGGCGGAGGCGCGCGCGGCCAAGGCGCTGGAGAGCGAGCGCGTGTCGCGAGAGGACGCCGCCGCCGCGCGCCAGCAGCTGGCCGCCGCCGCCGACCACGCCCACACCCTGCACAAGTACGGCCTCGCATCTGTACATAGGGGGCAAGGGATTGTTAGTAATAGGGTTTGACAGGTCCTTTGCCAACCATATACCTTATCAGGTCAACCTCCTCACGATTCCCCCTGAAAACATACGTGGCTGATTGATCCATTGGTGAATTTGTCACGATGGACTAACTGACCTGTCAGTTCTAGGTTCGTCCTCACCTATCATTACTTACTGGTGCCCTGCCAGCGTATAACAATAGCGCAAGCGGGGTAACATTTCTATTATCATCTTTAAAAAAAAATCTTTACATACACATTCGTTGTAGCTATTTTTTAGTGAACGATAATGGAATGCTAGCCCTGGCCACAGTGGTATCCAGTTAATTTGATTAAAAATTCTTTTTTAAATACTCTTTATCGTAATTCACAAGAACAGCGAATTTTGAGTTACAATTAATTCTACAAAAAAAATTCTATACTAGCACTGTACATTCAGCTTACCTCCCTTGTTTACACATACACCACTGCAGGCTCGCCACATTTACTTTAAAAATTCACAACACACATACTAGTCCATTAGTGTATTCGCTTGTATTCAGTTTCTGTATTTTTGTTTATATATTAATTGGTCCCTTAAGCCGGATCAAATAATGAAATTCTACTCCTTGGGATATTCTATGAGCTATAGTGAACTGCAACAATGGACATAGTTTATATGCCTCATACTAATCATAAAACAATAATTACTATATTGATTTTTAATATGCTCCACGAAATATAGGCATATTGAGTATTGCGTTCACAACAATAGTCGAAAAAAAACCTCTGACTTTTCCTTTAAGTCATAAACATATTTATTTATATATATTTTTTAATAACTGCAATTTCCTATTTCAGTAAATGCGAAGAACTAGAGAAGCTGAAAGCGGAGAAGGAGGCTGCTCTAGCGGATTTGCAGCGGCGGCTCGAGGAAGCGGATCGTGCTGTAGAGGACGAGCGGCGCCAGCGCGCTGCGCTGCAGCACGACCACAGCGCGCTGCAGCGCGAGCGGGACGCACTCGAGGCCGAGCGCAGCAGGCACGCTGTCCTACAAGTAACTACCTGCACTTGGTATAACTCTTTCCTGGCACTCACCAGGCAGACATGAATCTAAGTAAAAAGTCCCAAATTGACATATAATCACTTGGGACAGGGGGGAAAGGGATTGTCAGTAATGGAGACTGAGAATCCTAGCAGCTAGCTAGCAGTATACCCAACCAGGTCGACCTCGTCGCGGTTCTCCCTGGAAACTATCATGATTAATTTCTGATGAATTCATCATGATGGACTAACTGACCTGTTTTCATTCTCATCTGTCACCCTTCACTGGTGTTCCGCCAGCGTATCCCGTTAGCGCAGGTGGGATTATCATACCATTTTCACCCATCAAAAAAAAATCACTTGGGACATTCTAATATAGTCCTAATAAAGTCATTTAATAGGTACTTCTATTATGTATTTTTGCCAATAAACAGTTGTACTTGTAAGCTGTGTTTTGGTTTGAAATGTTAAATGAGGCTATTAGAGGTATATGTAATCTATAAATAATATGGATGAACTATTTTTGACTTCACATTTTTACTTGTTTGCTAAAGAGTTGTAACTTTTATTAAAATATAAACTGGACCAGTTCTTTATTGTTTATGTTGCTTCGTTACAGGAGCAAATGTCGACGCGTGGCGATATTTCGCCGCCGCATTCCGTTGCTTCTGATTCGTTGTCTAACTCCTTGTGGAATATGGTGAGTTAATTTATATCAGTAATATATCGTTTAATATAAAACTTCTTTTTAACATATGCATTTTAAAATAATTTGGAAAAATGTTTATCAATCGCATGCGCGTGTTCACGGGCGTTAGATGTGTTTTTTGATACGCGAAATATTTCCGCAAAAATGTCGTGTACCGTGAAATGTGCTACCTGTAATATTGTAATTGATGAGCTTCTATCTTACATACAGAACAAAATATCGATAGCTGATGAAGAAAGCTTAGTAAAAATTTGTGCATTATCGTTTACAAGTGAACAAGTTCAAAAGTCACATACGTTACTATTTGAATCAGTGTCTTCAGAGTTACGAAGAATCGCACGTAAAGGAAAAGGAAGGGGAGATCGTCTGTTGTACGACATACTCAGCTTCTTCAAAGTCACAGATCCTGATATGCTGCCTATATTTGTTGCTCGTGACCTTGAAAAACTGCCACCTATCACCTGGGATCATTTGGACGTATCTAAAGTCCTGAAAGATCTATTGATTGTACAGTCTGAAATTAAAACAATTAAATCATCGTATGCAACTGTTAAGCAGCTAGAGAAAGTTAAAAAGGAGTGCTATAATTTAAAAACCGTTTCGCCACCATTCTCTGCTGCTAAGATTAACATAAAAAGAGGTGCTTATCGTGACAGCGGCCCTATAGCTCTATCGGTTATGGATGAGTCTACTATAAGTAATCATGAAGATGAATCCAGTGGTGAAATGTCTTCTACACGGGATCATAATTTACATTATAGAAATATAAATATAAACACAAATTATCCGGAGGGTAGTAGTGATACACTTATCGATGCAACGTTCCATCAAACGTTTGAAACTGAAAATAGCCGTGTAACCGACAATACGAAACGCGATGAGTCATTGTTGACATGTAACCGGCAGTCCACGCAGCCAACGGTCGGCAAAGTAGGTACAACACTTGTTAAATCTTATGCAGGTGCCGTAAGGTCTAATAATGAATGGACAATCGTCGAGAAGAAAAGAAAAAAAAAAATAGACGCATTGAAAGAAAATTAGGGACAGTTGTAATCGGAACAGATGAGATGTTTAGAGCTGCTGAGAGAAAAATACCACTGTTTATTACTAATGTGCATAAAAATACGTCAGAATCAGATATCGTTCGATACATTTGTAAGATGACACAAGAAACAGTAGCATTAGAGAAAATATCCATTAAGCGTCAATGTGATTACAATGCATTCAAATTCTTTGTAGCACAAAATAAAGTCTCGTTGTTTTTGGATGAGAATATATGGCCAGAAGGGATAATTTTTCGACGGTTTATTAATTTTAAACTAAAAAAATCGACTGGAAACGCACACATTTCCATTGACGGCATTACACACCAAAATTATGGATAGTGGGATCTACAACTTTGTTACCTTCAATTGTAAGAATGTGAAGCGCTCTGTAGAAGGGATACGGGAATTATGTAAAAGATCGGATATCATAGCCCTGCAAGAAACGTGGTTGTTGCCGAGTGATCTATCATATTTGTGCAGCATAGATTGCGAATTTACCTCTACGGGAACGTCGGCGATCGATACAACAGAGGGAATACTGCGCGGGCGACCGCACGGTGGTGTCGCGATCCTCTGGCGGCACAGTGTATTTTCCAATGTTGTAGTAGTGCCATGTGATAATCCCCGCATATGTGCGATAAAAATAATGTTAAAAGGGCGGTCAATCCTAGTGATGAGTGTCTACATGCCTACCGATATGTCTACAAACTTAGTGGAATTTACGGACATTCTCTGCTCGGTAAGTGCAATCATAGACAGTAATAATGTGGATTGTGTTTATATTATGGGCGATTTCAATGCTCATCCCACAGAATCATTCTTTAAGGAATTATCTATATTTTGTGAGGAACAGGAATGGACTTGTATAGATATAGAAATGTTGAAGGGTTCATCGAACTGTTTTACGTTTGTGAGTGAAGCTCATGGGTCTAAAGTGGTGTCAAGACCACGAAGAACAAATAAAGATGGATATTCTAGCTTCACATCATTCAAATAATGATTTTCGGTCTTTTTGGAAGGCTACGGGGAAGCTAAGTTTTTTTTTTTTTTTTTTTTTTTATAGAACTTAGAATGGCAAACAAGCTGACGGCCCACCTGATGGAAAGTGGTAACCGTCGCCTATAGACATGAGCAGTACCATGGACATAACAGAGTATACTGTTTCGCCCATGATACCCCCATGCGTTGCCATTCCTGAGGACTCAGGTGTTATTCCTCTGTACCCAGTAAATTCACGCCATATCCTTCAAACCGAAACACAGCCATGTCTACGGTTGAAACACGAATGAAGCAATCGCTTTTGTACAAAGTCTACCCTTCCTGTGTCTATTGAAGGCGTAAGTAATGCCGAGAACATAGGTGATCTTTTTAAGGATCATTTTACTGTTAAATCCCCTTTGGGGCCATCGCGTGTGGAGTTGAATGTTGAGACTGGACGTGTGGTGGAAATTAGATGTACTAGTGAAGTAGATCAAATTATAAAATCTATGAGTAGAGGTAAATCTCCAGGACACGACAGTCTCAGTATTGAACATCTAAAACATGCGGGGCCACACTTGGCGAGACTGTTGACAATGCTCTTTAACTTTTGTATAAGTCACTCGTACATGCCGGAGGAGATGATTAGAACAGTGGTGATACCTGTAGTTAAGAATAAAATTTCTGATATAACAGACAAAAATAATTATAGGCCAATCTCCTTAGCTACTGTTGTCTCAAAGGTGTTTGATAGCATGCTTAACTCTCGACTGACTCAGCATATAAAACTTCATGACAACCAGTTTGGCTTTCAAACTGATTGTTCGGACTGTCAACTGAAAGCGCTGTTCTTTGTGTTAAGCATGCTATTAGATACTATACAAATCGAAAAACGCCAGTCCATGCATGCTTCCTCGACCTGTCGAGAGCTTTTGATCTGGTTTCTTATGACATCTTGTGGAAAAAGCTCGAAAATTTTCAATTACCATCAGAGCTCATAAATATCTGCAAATATTGGTATGGAAATCAGCTCAATAGCGTGCGATGGGCGGGGACTATGTCGCAGTCATACGGATTACAGTGTGGCGTGAGGCAAGGAGGGTTGTTTTCGCCGGTACTATTTAATCTGTATATTAATGATCTGATTGTTGCTTTAAGTGGTACCCGTGTCGGCTGTCACATAGACGGCATTAATGTTAATAATATAAGTTATGCCGATGACATGGTGCTGCTCAGCGCATCGATATGTGGGCTTAAAAAACTCGTGGCTATTTGCGAGTCATATGCTGCATGCCACGGACTGATATACAATGCTGTGAAAAGTGTGGTCATGGTCTTTGAGAGTAGAGGCAAAAACTCAATAGGCTTTCCAGATATTAAACTTAAGGGTATAACGCTGAAGAGGGTGTATAAATTTAAATATTTAGGACATCAATTGGCCTCGGATCTCAAAGATGATGATGACATTGAACGGGAGCGGAGGGCGCTGGCGGTGAGGGCGAATATGATAGCACGCAGGTTTGCGCGGTGCTCTAGACAAGTTAAAATTACGCTATTTAGATCACATTGCACATCTTTCTATGCATGCAACCTGTGGGCTGTATATATTCAAAAATCCTACAGCGACCTCCGTATCCAATATGATAACGCATTCAGGGTGTTGATGGGGCTGCCACGATTCTGCAGCGCGTCAGGGATGTTCGCTGAGCATCGTGTAGATTGTTTTTATGCCACAATGCGAAAAAGGTGTGCATCCCTGGTGCGCAGAGTACGTGCCAGCACCAACAGCATCCTGAGTATGATAGCAAGCAGGCTGGACTGTGTGTACGTTAATCACTGCTGCGCAATTTCCAATGGAATTGTGCAGCGGTGATTATCTGTATACTGCTTAATATATTGTATGTGTGTATGTGTGTGTATGTGTATTGTGTATGTAAATTTACTAACATTAGTTTTATGAATATTGTTACTAATAAATATTTAATGGACCAAAAAGTCTAAAATAAAAATTATTATTATTATTTAAATTTTACTATAATTCTCATCTCCCCTCTTAAGGAGAGGAGATGGCAACTAACCCCCGGCAGAAGCACAGTCGGCCGGGGTTCAGGGCCCCAGGGAGAGAAACCGGCGTACAATGCGGGCAGAATCTAAGAGCACCGCTTTCTGCATCTTTCCCGGGAGTGAGCCGCCTCGGAATCCCAACCGTCTGAGATGTTGTTCCAGACTGGTTGGGATAAGACCGTTCACCGACATAACGATTGGGATGATTTCGGTAGATGTCACCCCCCACATTTCGGTCACCTCGTGAGCCAGGTCGAGATATTTTCTCTTCTTCTCGGTTTCGGCTTTCACGAGGTTCTCGTCATGCGGTATGGTGACATCCACCAAAAACACCCTCGAAAGTGCCCGATCCATCACCACGATATCAGGTTTGTTCGCAAGAACAGTCCTGTCCGTGATGATGGATCGGTCCCAGTAGAGCCTGACGCTGTCGCTTTCGAGGACCGGCTGTGGCTCGTACTTATAGTACGGCAACCTCTCATTCGCGAGGCCGTACTTCAGAGCTAGCTCTTGATGGAGTATTTTGGCTACCTGGTTGTGTCTGTGCAAGTACTCTGTGTTGGCAAGAGCTGAACAACCCGAAAGCACATGTCTGAGTGACTCTCCGGGATGGCGACATGCTCGACAGATGTCCTCAGTGCCATCCTTCAGAATGTGCTTTCGGTAATTGTTCGTCTTAACCACCTGATCCTGTATTGCACAAACAAAACCCTCGGTCTCTCCGAAGAGATCACCGAACTGTAGCCAGTGCACGGAGGTCTTCGTGTTTACGTACGGCCCGTGAAGGGCTTTGAAGAACCTTCCGTGCAACTCCTTCTCTTTCCATACGGCCTCCCGCTGAGAGGTACCCAAAACTTCGGGTTTTCGGTTTTTCCAGTCCTCTTTAGCCAGAGAAAGAGGGGTGAATCCTTTGTCACATTCTATGACCTCTCTATGCAAACCCTCGTCTCTTTTCTCCAGAAAATATGTCCTGAGGCTGTCAATCTCGCGGTTGTGCATGGTCTTAACGCTTAACAAGCCTCGACCACCAGCTTTCCGCGGGATATACAGCCTCATGACTGACGATTTCGGGTGATGCATTCTATGGAGGGTCATAGTTATGCGGACTTTCCGATCCAGGGCTTCGAGTTCGGTTTGAGACCATCTGAGCACGCCAAAAGTGTAAAGGAGTACGGGTATGACCCAGCCGTTATAAGCTCGGACTTTATTGGCGCCCGACAAGCAACTTTTCAGTACTCTTGTAAGGCGCGCAAAAAATTCCTCGCGAACTGACTGTTTCACATCCGTCTCCCTCACACCGATGTTTTGTGACATGCCCAGATACCGGTATGTTTCAGCCTCGGAGAGGGTTTTAATATTAGAGGGATCTGTGGCGATCTCTTCAGTTTGAGTGACCCGTCCCCTCTGCACACGGAGGACCGCGCACTTGTCTATTCCGAGTGCCATCCTAACAGAGCTGCTATAATCGTTTACGATATTTAGCAGCTCCGTCAGGCGTTCGACACTCGGAGCTAGTAGTTTCAAGTCATCCATGTACAGAAGGTGAGACACTCGTGTACCTCCTCTCCGATACTGAAATCCAGTCCCCGAATTCCCCAGTAAAGTACTGAGAGGATTCAGGGACAGGCAAAACCAAAGTGGACTCAAACAATCACCCTGGAATATTCCCCTCTTGATCTCTATCCGGTCAGCGGTATCCGTCAATCGCTCGCCCTGGATAGTCAGGATCGTCGTCCACCGCCCCATGCATGCCTCCAAGAACACTCGAATTGTACCGTCGATCTTGTACAGCTCGAGAATCCTCCGGAGCCATGAATGGGGCACAGAATCGAATGCCTTTTTATAATCTATCCAGGCGGCGGAGAAATTCCGACGGTTCCTCTTGACCACGTGCCCAGCGACAGCGTTAATGAGGAGCAGCTCCTTCGATCCGCAGCTACCGCCCCTGCATCCGTTCTGAGCGCTAGATAGGATCTTATTTTCGTACACATGACGAGAGATCTTAGCGCTCAGAACGGATGTTAACGTCTTATATATTGTAGTAAGACAAGTGATGGGGCGATATTTAGATGGATCCGCGGTATCGTCCGTCTTAGGAGCTAAATGAGTGATCCCGGTTGTAAGGAAGTTTGGGAGCGTCCTGTTTTCGAGGGCACTCTGGAATTGCACGGCTAAGGTCGCATGGCTGGCCGAGAACGCCTTTAACCAGTAGTGCTGCAATCCGTCGATCCCCGGACTTTTCCAGTTCGGAGCCCGACGGATCGCGGCAACCACGTCTTCCTCCGTAATGGCAATGGCGTTCATCGGCGTTATTCGAGCACATGCTTCCTCAACATCGTGCATCCATGCGCCCTCCTCATGCTCCACAGGTTCAGACCACAGCTGTCGCCAGAAGGCGACGAAATTGGCTGTTTCTGGTCTTTCTCCTGTGGGCTGCAGTTTTGGGCGCTCCAAGTTCCTATAAAACTTCCGTTGATCACTCATAAAGAGACGATTCTGTTGATACCTCTCGACCCTCTCAGAGTACCGTCGGAGTCGCTTCCCCCATGCAGCGATCTTCTGCTACAGATCATCTATACGCTCCGCAAGTTTTTGCTCGAAGTCCGGCTGGAACAGACGTACACCTGTCCCAGCAAAGGCCTCTTTTACGGAGCGTATAATTCTCGGGCGTGTATTGCCCTCCCTGAAGCAGAGCAGTCTGCCAATGAGAACCCTGGCCTGGGTGATCCGTCGCTCAATTCTTCTTTTCCAGGCTGGTTTCGCATTATCCCTTCGGATATTACGTCCAGCCCGGGGCATTTTTGCGCCGGTATATCGGCATACTGCCAACGCAGCGCCGAATAAGATTGAGCTCGTCTCTCCCAGGTCACCGCTGCCCTCAAGGTATTGAGGCAGCAGTGTATTTGTGGTCTCAATGGCATCCCGCGTCGCCACATTTGGATATATCCGGGGAAGCTTCGGTCTCTCTTCGAGGGGAGTTCTTCGGATCTCTAGAATCGCCTCCTCTAGTATGCTCCTCATATGCTCTATGTCCTGGGAAGTTGTTCCGACCACATCCGCTTCTGAAGGCGTTTCGGCAACCACCTCTACGCTAGGTAACACGTCCGAGATGGGTTGCTCCGTGGTCGCCAAGTCTGCTTCTGGAACAACTTCCTGAAAGTGATCATAATTTTTTGAAGGAAACAGTATATAGTTATCATTAATTCTATAAGTGACAGCGTTTGGAGGTGATATTTTGTTCTTTTAATATCAGATTCCCACATACTTCCAAAATGTAGGATGAGTGAAGATTGCAATCAAAATAGTTGTCGTAAAGTTTAGATGGTGTATTTGTCGTATGTGTTTGAGTGTAGACAGCGGTGGTGTGTGCGCAGGAGGAGGAGGGCGGCGTGGGAGGTGGCAGCGTGGGTGGTGGCGCGGTGGGCGAGGAGCAGGCGCTGGCGGCGCTGACGCGGCGCGCGGGCGAGGCGCGGCAGCTGGCCGCCGCGCACGCGCGCCTCGCCGCCGAGCGCGACCAGCTGCGCCGCCTCGCCGCGCGCCTGCACGCGCGCCTCGACCACTACCAGGTGCGCCGCCACACACACACACCACACACACCACACACACCACACACACCACACCACACCACACCACACCACACCACACCACACCACACCACACCTCACCTCACCTCACCACACCACACCACACCCGCTCTCGGTGACACTTCCTCTAACCGCAAATTAACCGTGTCACCAAAATATTGTGATTCGACATATTGTTCACCAACAGTTTATGATCTTCTCCGTGCCTCATAAATAAATTGTAATTCATTCAGCAAACATTGTTACACATACAAAAAAGGTTCATACGTATTAACTTGTATAGGAATTAAAGTGTTTTGCAATATTTGCCACAGTGATCCCCACAGTGTTATGCTGCACTTGACAAGCTACAGCACTGATTTTCGACACTATAGCTCCTCAGCTGCGACCCCAGTATAATATAATAATTTAATAGTGATAGATTGAGCTGTTGCTCAAAAAAATGATGCATAAATGATGAACACATGTGGCAGAAACGCCAATATTGAAGTAAATGTGTGCGGTAATGATGAATGTCAGAATAAGAAATGAGGATGTATGGGAAAGTCGAACAGTTGCACCAGTAACAGGGAAGTTACAAAGTAATAGATTGTCTTGGTATGGTCATGTCATGCGTAGAAATGAAAGTCATGTTTAAAAAAATGTCTTAACACTTATATAAATGTGGATGGATGTAACAGAAGGGGATGGCCGAAAAAAAGATGCATGTGCTGTGTATACGCATAAAAGAGATATGATCCCAAAAGTTACAGTTGACAGGAATTTGTGGGAGAAGAAGACATACTGCACCGCCAGGTGGAAATCACCAACCAGAACCAATCAACCAGAGGGAAACTGTACAAAAGTCGTTTGCTTAGGTACCTCTGTCCCACTCGTGTTTCTAGCGCAAAGCAGTTGTTTGCATGGTTGTGTTTCGGTTTAAAGGGTGAGATATGAACTGTCATTTACAGGAATAATAATGTCATTTACAGAGTAATTCACTGGAATTTACAGGGTACAGAGGAATAACACCTGAGTCCTCAGGAATGGCAACGCAAGGAAGGTGTCATAGACGAAACAGTATGCTCTGCTATGTCCATGGTACTGCTCATGTTTATAGGCGACGGTTACGATTTTCCATTAGGTAGGACGTCAGCTTGATTGCCATTGTAAGTTGTATAAAAAAAATAACTTACGAGTATTTCCATAGAATATTAAGCGAGTTTAAACAATTTGTTACTAAAACGAAGTAATACGATTATCTATGATATGTTATCACAGAGCGTCCAGGAGCAATACGACGCGCTGCTGCAGATGTACGGCGAGAAGGAAGAACAAATGGAGGAGCTTAAACTCGATCTACAGGTGACTTGATCATCTAGTCTCCTTTTATATATATATATAGTGCAAAAAAAAAAAAATTAAATGAAGCCTATTCACTCTACATTTGAAAGACCCCATATTATAGTGATCTGGAAATACAGACTCTGGAATCTAGCTTCTAATTTATTCATATAAATAATAAATCATCGAAATCTACCTTTTTTAAGCTAACTGCTTATTTTTTTTTTTCCAAAATTATTTAGTTCGCCATTGGAAGATTAAGCGTCTTAGTTGACTTAATCTGCGATTTGATACAGCATAAGCTAACTGCTTATTAAGTTTAGACTGTTTCTCAAATTTTCAAAAAACAAATTCCCAATTGGACAGTAAAAAAAGGCCGTGTAGTCCCAGCATAGAATAGGCCACCTCTTCCTTTCCCGTGGGTGTCGTAAGAGGTGACTAAGGGAAGGTGAGAGATGGGCAGCAGCGTCCCTTTTAAAACATCTCTAAAGCCTGACTGCGGTTGCCAATCCGACTGTCAAGCGTGGCAACTACTGGCAAACCTCCAAAGGGGGAGCTTATGTTCAGCAGTGGACGGTTTTTTTTTTGGAGAATATAAATGGTATGGTAACCCCGCCTGCGGCTAAAGAGATACGCTGGCGGAGCACCAGTGAAGGGTGATAGATGAGAATGAAAACAGGCCAGTTAGCCCATCATGATGAATTCATCAGTAACTAATCATGAATGGTAGTTTCCAAAGGGAACCGCGTGACTGACATGGTTAGGTATATTCTTAGCAATGGGATTCTTAGTTTCCATTACTAACAATCCCTTTCCCCCCAGCAGTGGACGTTTAAAGGCTGGTATGATGACGGTCATCAGATAATATTTACGCCAGTCTCCATCGATTTGTACTTTCGTCCTATAGTCTATACTTCGTACTATAGTCCAGTATTAATTTTGTCAAGATTGAAATCTTATTTTTTGGCATAACATTTTAATTTTTACCAGTCAAAAGCGTTAGCTTGTTTGGGAGGTCGACTGTAACAGTTGTGGTAACGTTTGGCAGGACGTGACGCAGCTGTACAAGGCGCAGCTGGACGAGCTGATCGCACTGAAGCAGAAGGTCGGCTCTCGATAGCGGCTGAAGCCGTGCTACCGCTGCACCGCGCGCTTCTGGCTGTGACTCGACCTCGTACTGGCTCCAGGACACAACACTGCAAGTCGATCATACCTGCTCGATCGTAAATTCATGTTGTATGTAGCAGCTATTGTATAAACAATTACGTGTACGTAGCTTTTTGATCGGCTCCAAAAATTCTCATTTCAATTATATTTTATTTAAAATACCTTCGTCAGTTGTGAACCAATTGTGGTGTTCTTTAGCTCTCTGACCGCGTATTTCTTTTTTACAACATTAAAACACATCGCTTTGACAACAAATAGCAGTACGAGTATTTAGCCATCTAGCGAGATTCTTAGAAACTATATTAGTGTACCAAAACAAAAATCGCAGGCTAGCAACGTCGATAAACATAAAGAATGCGAGCACGTCGAAATCTCGAGATGCTTGAAATTAAACTATCGGATAGTGCACGCGGAAATCGTTTTTTTTTTTAATATTTTTTTTTTATACGACTTAGAATCGCGATCAGAGAGTTTTCATTCTAAAAACCTCATTGAAAAACCATGGTGTTATGGTAACTTCGGAGATATTAGTAGTCAACGAAAACTGTATAAGCTCGCGTCGGTGTAGTTGTAAAGTTTACGACAGACAACAGTGGGCATGTATATAGCGGATTGTTTATACGCATTTAAGTACCAATTGTTTTTTTGTCAAACAAATGCCATTTGAATTTTGTAGCGATTATCAGACATACGGTTACGAAAGTTTATTTTGCTGAGGGCAAAAGTTACTTTGAGAATATATTAATTAATTATTTAAGTTCGGCATGGAAATGAGGTCATTTTATAAAAGCACAGCCATATAAAAATGACCCTGTAAATACTTTTTTTTGTTTAAAAGTAATATATAATACACGGAGTTAGAGAGGAAAGATATAACGAAACGAAAATTCAGTGATTTTTATGTGTTATCAATGATCGGAGGTCGATTTTGATGAGTCATTCCCTAAGTCTGAAATGTTCTCCTAGATAAGTGACAAATGGGTCTATCAATGGAGTTATTATCGCTAGCGAGTCCATAACATAGAATGACATGGTGTTTACGCACCGATAAGCGGTGGGAGTTTTGTATGTCCCCACTTCTAACGATGGTGAAGCGATTACAACACTTAAGAAGGTGCGTGCACTTCCTTGAGATATAATCATGTGCCGTATCGCTTTCCACCTTGCCTAGACTGGATCCTGTTTATTTATTTATTTATTTATTCATAGGAAAACCAGGGCTACACTACAGCAAATAGATACAGTTTTAGGATAACAAAATAAGCCACTAATAGGTTTCACAAGTAGCAACAATATAGACACAAGGCGCTGTACACAGAGAAACAAAAATAGGAGTTCACAAACAAAATATGTACAAACAAGAGGAATAAAAACAAAAACAAACTAATAATGATAAGTAAAATACAAATTAATGATTAAATGTAAATATTTGACCAAAATATGGCCTTTTTATCCATACAATAGTAATTAAAACAGACTATGAATAAAAAAATTGCTTACTCAGTTGGTTTCTCACTGATATTATACTCGCCAAAGGCCAAAGTCGAAGCCGTTGTTTAAATAGGCTTACACAAATGTCTTTATAATATTCACAACAATATTTTTTTTTTATACAACTTAGAGTGGCAAACAAGCTGACGGCCCACCTGATGGAAAGTGGTAACCGTCCCCTATAGACATGAGCAGTACCATGGACATAACAGAGTATACTGATTCGCTCATGATACCCCCCATGCGTTGTCATTCCTGAGGACTCAGGTGTTATTCCTCTGTACCCAGTAAATTCATGCCATATCCCACTCTTTAAATCGAAACACAGCCATGCAAACAACTGCTTTACGGTAGAAACACGAATGGGACAGAGGTACCCAAGCAAACGACTTTTGTACAAAGTCTCCCTCTGGTATTTTAAGATTTTATAATGAAATAAAGAAAATCTCCTAGTTGATTGTCCTCTATGTATTCTTGATTCGCGAAGGCGGTACGCGATCTCAAGCCGAGTGCAAAGGCGCGTCCACTAACCGCCCTCCAACTTAGCAATGATTGTAATCGATTCACATTCGAGAACTATATGCATATTCGATTCTTAAGCGAATTCGAGACGATTTTATGATGTAACCGTTTGTCACTTATGATAAGAATATAATATATATATATATATATATATATATATATATATATATATATATATATATATATACGGACAAATCACACAGATTGAGCTAGCCCCAAAGTGAGTTCAAGACTTGTGTTATGGGATACTAACTCAACGGTACTATATTTATAATAGACACATATATAGATAAACATCCCAAGACCCAGGACAATCAGGAAAAGATCGTTTTCCATCATGACCTGGCCGGAGATCGAACCCGGGCCTCCACGTCGCAGGCAGGCGCTATATATATATATATATATACTAATATATAGTCAATGTTTCTAATGTGTCTAAAGTTCCTCTCGATTTAAACGTTTATTTTATTTGTAAAATTATCTTGTAAGCTATCCACGTAGCGTTGGTGACTGGTAGATCATGCGGTGGTCTGACTGTTAGTTCTATCCTACAGTTTCAAATATTTTAAATTATATCATTAATTGTTTGTCAATGATTGTATTATATTATTGTATTATGTATAGATTTCAATGTATGTACAGTGTATTGTAACGTTTTGTGATGAAATATATTCTATACAGTTGGTCTGTGTGTGTGTTTTAGGCAATTTATTTACTTTTATTTATTTATTTACACTTTATTGCACCGAGTAAAAAGAGAAATAACAAATACAGTAAATATTAATGAGAAGTGACACAAAAGGCGGCCTTATCGCTAAGCAATCTTTACTTTTTTTTATGTATGGAAATAAATGCCTCGTGTTTGTATTTCCTTTTATTTACTTGTACGCTGTCTCTTCGTGATACGGGCGTCCAGTGAAACAGTAACTTAACTGGTACATGCTACACTAGCATCCATCACTCAATTATTAGGATATGATTCTATATTTTAATTTTATATTATAAAGATAGTGTCGCCATATAAATGCTTCGCTTAAAACAGGTCAAGTTTTTTATCCATGTGTGCATAAGTAGGGTTACCATAATATACGATTATTACACAGTATATGGGAGAAAGTATATTGTAGGGTAAATTAAAAAAAAAAAAACATTCAAAATTCTTATATTTGGAAGAACCAGTTAAACAGTCCATAATGATTCGTAATGATGCTCATCCTTACAGAATATTTTGATTTATATCTGACTAAAAACACAAAATGTGTTTGTGTTTTTAAATAATTAAAAATGTCTGCCATTTTAATTAATACATCCATATTTGTAAGCAATCAGTACATTTGTATATTTATATGAGAAAAAATAGTTCTAAATTCAAATTTAAAAAATTTACCTAATGTGGGAAATTTTTAATCTAATTACATGTAACACTGAAAGTGTTTTATTTAAAAAAAAAGTGTCAGCCAATTTGATAATTGACCGACTAAAAGTTAACCCGTTTTTATGCTCTATCTGTATAATCTAACCCCCGTTATGTATGAAAACATCAAATCTTTCCTAAATTTATTTTAGCTATTGAATTGTTTTTGTCATTTTTCTGTTTTTTTTTTTTTATGAATAAAAGTGTAAGATATTAATATTTCTGTACTGTATTTCGTCATAGTCATAGAATGCTGACGGATCTGACGAATATTATATAGAAAGATCCGTCAGTATTCTACGACTATGACGATTTGTCCTCAAATGTCAAATAATCTTGTCAGATATAAATATGTGCTGACTCTTTCTAAACGTTTGACCACTTCACTTTGTAAGCAATTGCTGTGAATCTACGCGATCTGCAAATTAATTTTCAGACCAAATATAGAAGGATATTTCACTCGATACGGTTACGAAGTGCACTGTGCGTCGGTGTTGCGTAATGTATGTAAATAGCTTATTATGTGATACGGCCATATATTGCATTACTGTTATCTCGTGAAGGGAGATTGGCGTGATAGTACTTTGTTATTTTATTTTTAAATTGTATTTCAAGTCACAATAATATAATCATATTATGAAACATGGTTGTTTAAATTACCTAATCCTTATTCATATTTGGGGGAAAGGGATTGTTAGTAATGGGGTCTAATTGACCCATTGCTAGCAGGTCGACCTCCATGCGGTTCCCCCTGGAAACCGTCGTGGTTAATTCTAGTTGAATTAGTCATGACGGGCTAACTGACCTGCTTTCATCCTCGCCTATCATCCCTCACTGGTGCCCCGCCAGCGTATATCAATAGCGCAAGCGGGATTACCATACCATTACCATCCATAAAAAAATACACGATGCACCATCAACTTTGTAGCGAACTCCTTGCTACATTTTTATATTCTTATTGCCTTTTGAAATTTATATATTTTTTTTTGACATATTGTTTTTACATTCAAATACATTTTTGCTGATGCCTCATCTTTTCTGTAGTTTTCCATACTAAAATCCTCTCCTTGCTTATTAAAAGCAGGGGGACACGTGATGAAAAAAATCAATCAATCCGGGTCTTCTTGCCCGCCTTTAATAGTGTAGGCGGGTGAGGTAGGGGTCTCGGGGTAAACCCCTTTACCCCGGCTGCATCTCCGGAGGCAACTACCTCCGGGTCACTGGGTTTTGAGCCGGCATACACTGGTGGTCTGTGTATGCCGGCGTGGTGTCTTCTTTGTTGTGGCCTCTTCTTCTTTCTTCTTGTATATATATATATATATATATATATATTTTTTTTTTTTTCATCAATGTTGATGAAAAAAAAAAATGGCCGCGCGATTAAATTTTTAATAGATGGCGATACTAGCCGCGATTTACTATTAATGCTTCCGTAAGTCTTAGAAAACACACAAAATCATTTATTAAATATGTATACTTTTATTTTAAAAATCTCCTAAAAATGTAAAAATGAATAAAATAAATTCTTAAACCAAAACCCATTAGTTATATTAAAATTAAAAAATTGTTTTATTTCAACCAGGGAACTATTGTGCTTCGATTTAATTAGCATTGTTTAGTTAACATGGTCGTGCTACAAGTTTGTACACATCATTTCACAGATGGCGCTGTTTCTATTTAGTGTACTATTGTGTTTTACCCGTTCACCCAAAATTTCTAGATC